TCAATAGCAAACAGATATCCAGATAAATTCAGATATGGATAAATGGATGACGGATTTATCTGGATTAAAACTCTAAAATTATAACTATCAAAAGATCTTAAGTCTAGTTGACATTTCTAATATGATGACCCGAAGCTATAAACATCTGTAGCATTTGTAAACTTTTGACCTCAGGTGAGACAAAAAGCATGGCACTATAATTAAATTATAAGTAAAATAATCATTTTACCTGGTGATGGCAATCCATGACAGTTTGCAAAATTGACAATAAATGTAAGAACATTCAAAACAATCGTGAATGATAAAGCGTTATTAGATTTTCTTCCTGAAAGCACATTCCTAATAGGTTTAGTACCATTTATACGATAATGTTGACGAATAGTTTTTCATTTTTTATTCGATAGTGAATATATAATTTGAAAAGCCTTTTCACAAATTTCATTTTCATCAAACGTATATTTAACAGTTATGTACTGTTTTTCTTTACCGCGTAATGTCTCTTTTGGACGAACCATTGCATGAAGCATCCCTAATAAAAATATATTGTGCTCAACTTTTGTTGATTTTCAAATATTATCAAATTTTTCAAATACGGATTCATGGTTGATTTTGGTTAAACATGTTTTGGTTTTACAACAGACCGTGTACAAAGTTTATTAGTAAATGCTTCTTTCTCTTGTTGATCTAATATAACGGTTAATTTTTCATTAATTTCTTGTTCGTTGTTTTCTTTAATTGTACTTTGGTAAAATATTTTTTGAAATTTTTTAATTTGCAATGGGCTAAGAACATGATTATTAAAATATGGTATTTTTTCATCATTTTCTATATGATATGTGCTTTCAGAAAAAAGCTCATTCATTTCTAGTACTTCCTTCATTTTGATTTCGTAATCTTTCTCGGTTTGGTAAAAGGTTTTAAGTTGGTTAAAATCTTCTGTTAATGAACCAATTTCCGAATATGTTTCTAAAAAAATTGACGAAACTAACGTATGTGTTATTTTTTTTGCAAAACTTTAAACTCTATCATTAATATTATTGTCAACAAAGTGATGAAGCAATCATTATTGTGAAATCAGATGACTTTATAGATCCCATGTTCTTAGTCGTTTAGCCTTTATGGATTGAAATAAATTGCAGATATCTTGTTGGGTACCAGTATTTCGTGATTTTGTATCGTGATTATATATGATTTATTTGATTTAGAGTTTTAATCCAGATAAATCCGTCATCCATTTATCCATATCTGAATTTATCTGGATATCTGTTTGCTATTGA